AGGAGCTGAGTCTCGACCTCTGCAACCACAATTAGGTGAGTACCTAGGCGTTCTAGTAGTACACTCTGTAATCATTATTTAACTACATGTAAACCACACAGCAACCAAATTCTGTAAATTCAACATTGTAATCTTTATAGAGAATAAACTTTGAATTTGAATTTGAATATGGAGATCAACACTGCTACTTTAAACATCATTTATTCATGACTAGTTTTGAAGTAACTTACTAAGGTACCTAAAAAAATCTGAGAAAATCAACTATAAGAGCCAGATCTAAGCATAAGTTAATCGTCAAATTAATATAAGTGAAAGAAAAGATAAATGGAATAGAGAATAAAAATAATATAATTGAGAAATAGTAACTATGACTGTTCATTATTACACAGGAAAGTCTGGTATCTAACCAGGACTGAGGGGAGGGCGAACCCAGAGCAAAAATAAGGAATTTGTTGTGCATTTGAGATTTGCTCCTTAGACACTCTTTTTTAAATAGTTAAGTATAATAAAATTAAGAAAAGGAACTAGTTTTTCCATATTCTATTTACATTTAGAATTTTATATGAAGGGAGCGTGGAGATTATGACCAACTTTGGTTAGGGACGCGACCCAAAATAGGTTAAATGTTGTATAGCATTAGAAACAAACCTTCCTTATGTAATAATGAATGGTCAGTAGAATTACTGTTTCTCATTTTCATTTTTATTCTTTTTATCTTTTCTTACAATAATTTGATGTTTAACAGGTTTATATTTGATTCTTATAGTTAGTCTTGCCTTATTTTGTACGTTGGTTTACGTGCGGCCACCAGTAACAGCCTGGTTGATCAGACCCTGGTCCACCACGAGGCCTAGTCTCAGGCCGGGCCGCAGGGGCGTTGACCCCCAAAATCCTCTCCAGGTATACTCCAGTGCTTTATGATCGAATATGTTAACCCCGAAACTAGTCGTGAACATGTTAAAAGAACACAAGTGCAACTAATGTAACTGCTTGATAAAGCTCCTGGAGAGCGAAACGTTGCCCCTGTGAAATGTCACGTTAGTTGCACTTGTGTCCTTTTACCTAACATTTTGTCGGTAATTCTACCAACTGTAATGCAATTAGTCATCAACAAATAATAATTCCAGGAGGGATGCTAGTTTTCATCTTCCTTATATATATATATATTTTATATATTTATATATATATATATATATATATATATATATATATATATATATATATATGTGTGTGTGTGTGTGTGTGTTTTGGGGTGTGTGTGTACTCACCTAGTTGAAACTCACCTAGTTGAGGTTGCGGGGGTCGAGTCCGAGCTCCTGGCCCGCCTCTTCACTGATCGCTACTAGGTCACTCTCCCTGAGCCGTGAGCTTTATCATACCTCTGCTTAAAAGCTATGTATGGATCCTGCCTCCACTACATCGCTTCCCAAACTATTCCACTTACTGACTACTCTGTGGCTGAAGAAATACTTCCTAACATCCCTGTGATTCATCTGTGTCTTCAGCTTCCAACTGTGTCCCCTTGTTACTGTGTCCAATCTCTGGAACATCCTGTCTTTGTCCACCTTGTCAATTCCTCTCAGTATTTTGTATGTCGTTATCATGTCCCCCCTATCTCTCCTGTCCTCCAGTGTCGTCAGGTTGATTTCCCTTAACCTGTGTGTGTGTGTGTGTGTGTGTGTGTGTGTGTGTGTGTGTGTGTGTGTGTGAGGAATATGGAGGAAGTAAATGTGTTCAGATATTTAGGAGTGGACTTGGCAGGTGGCAGATTGGTCTATGAAAGATAAGGTGAGCCATTGAATTGATGAGAGGGAAAACAGTGAGTGGTACATAGAGGCATCTTTGGAGTTAGAGAACTTTCTCAGTGGAGGCAAAAAAGGAAATTTACGAGAGAATAGTGGTACCAACACTCTACTGTGAAGCATAGGTTGCGAATGTTGCAGCAAGAAAGGAGATGGAGGCAGTGAAGATGTCAGAGGATAATGTGTGATGTAAATATTATATAGAGAATTCGTTGCTTAGAAATTAGAAGGGGGTGCAGGGTTACTAAAAGTATTATCCAGACAGCTGAGGAGGGTTTGGTAAGGTGGTTTGGACAATCAGAGAGGATGGAGCAAATTAGGATGACTTGAGGGTGTATGAATCTGAGATGCAGGGAAGGCGGGGTAGGGGTCGTCCTAGGAAAGACTGGAAGGAGGTGATATTGGATGTTTTGTATGCGAGGGGCTTGGACATCCAACAGACGTGGTGGATGTCCAACACGTCTTTTTTTCGGTCACCCTAAAACGGTGGGAGACGGCCAGTGCCTTCCTAGAATACATTTTACTTACCTGTCCGAGGCTATGGAACTTCTTACATATTGCACCAGAGATGGACCACACACACAACATTTTATATATATATATATATATATATATATATATATATATATATATTTTATATATATATATATATATATATATATATATATATATATATGCGACTAACCGAGGATTCAAACCCGTGTTGTTTTAGCCCGCCTCATGGTGAACGAAAATTCCACAACCCACGGGACCATACAATCCTACTAGGGTCGAGTCATAGCTCCTGGCCCCGCCTCTTCACTGATTGCTACTAGGTCGTCCCACTCCCTGCTCCATGAACTTTATCAAACCTCACCTTAAAACTATGTATGGTTCCCGCCTCCACTACGTCACTTTCTAGGCTATTCCACTGCCTGACAAC